AAAAAAAAACACCCTTTATTCTACCATCAAAAACATAAACATTAAAACTGATATAAAGTAGCTTCAGTTGGATTATACTGAGTATTAAACAGTGGAAAAAACACCTCATCTCTTGCAATTATCAAGTAAGGTGTATCATCTGTGAGGCTGTGGGTTTGTTTCCCTGGTAACAATTTTAGAGAACATGGTGGATTGCGTCACAAAACTGAAAACGGATCCTTAATCAGCCTTTTTGCAGAAGATATGACCAAGTTAACAAGTAATCAGTCATTAGGTCAACCTTCTTCTGTTTCCATCTACTGGTCAGATCTAAATCTTATATAAAAGCTGTGGGTTGAGCTGAAGAGAGCATCGGAGAGGATTCTGAGCTATGGTGCACAGAAGGAAGGCAAAGGATCTTTTCTTTTGTATCTATCTCTCTTGGTAAAAACAGACAGGGAAAATTAAATTAGACCATCCTATCTGTTTTTAATGTATTTATTTTTTAAATGTCAAGCATACTAAATGTACAATCGTTTGCAAATACTGAAATTAATATCTAACCATTTGCTGTCTTCTTGGAAACAACATCAATCTAAGGTTGCAGATGGGTGTAAATGTTGTGCAAATACAGAGAATTTAAAAGGATCTAGCAATGAAAACAAAAAAATAAAACTGGAGATGGAGAGCTAGCGAGTTTCTTCCAAATCTATATAATGTCTATAGAATTTAAACATAAAAAACATGCAAAGAAATATGCTGCAAAGGTGAAAAGTGGCAATCAAAGAAAATAGCAGTAAAGTGGAAACGTGCTATAAACACAAAACCTGCTTCAAATACATCAATCTTGCAAACACACACACACACTCACAAATTGCTGAAAAAAGAAATGCAAATAAACAAAAGCTGCAAAGTAGGTTGATCCAGACCACTTGTGAGAGATTATAATTAACTCATATGAAACAGACCATAAACATTACTACAAATTAATGTCTAAGGATGAGATTTGTTGCAAAAACCTTAATATGATGCTGTCAACAGGAGTTAGCTGATTGGATAGCCATTTTTTTCTATTCCTATCCTTCTGTTTATTTCCATGATTTCATTATTAGAGAGGACTAACTACTACCCTACTAGCAAAACCTGGTTGAACAAAGCATGAACAGCAGGGAAGGCAGTAATGTTTCCCCCGGCAACTTTAGTTAAAAGTTATTTCTTACAGTAGGAGTTTTCAGAATAAGAGATTTGATTTTTATGTTACAATTTCTAAGTCTGAGGTTGTGCAGCTGTAATAAAAATGATTTTAAAACATCTACTTTAAGGGTATTATCAATTACAGAGAAATAATTGGGCCAAAACGATCAAACAGTGAAAATAAATCAGAACTTTTTCACCATGTTTCCGAACTTTGGATCTGAAAAGGATCAATCAAAGATTCCTCAGACGCTGGCGGACAAGATCGTTCACTGTGAACGACTGAAGCGGTAACTGAAGGCCTGTCTGCAGAAAATTCTTCCTTACGTAACGTCTCTGCTGCAAAAGGCTCAGAAAACGATTATTTGGAATTAATTGACTGAAAGGGGGTTGAACACAATCCCTATTTCCCTCTGCGGCCTATAATTAGTGTCTAATTGCATTACAGGAATGAATTTCTATTAGAGAGCCGTGAAGTAAACAATTACAGAAATGAGCACTCAGTCAAACAGTGTTTAATTAAATGGGATGATATACTTCCAAGAGTCAAGTTTCACATTTTCAGATAATTCTGCTGCTAATATTTATTTTCATTGGGCTTATTTTAGGTATTTACCCTGCATGACTTCCTCTCTGGGGTTCTAAAAGATGTTGAAAACAGTGATGCTTTCTGGAGAGATTGCTGGTGGATGCATGGACTTGCGGAGCCCAGTGATTACTGTCATTGCTTTGTGTCGCTGCTTCAGCCTGAAGTCAGTGGAGATGACGTTTGTGTGCTTTGTTTATCTGAATCCCTCTATGCTTCACCCTTCTTTAAACCAAGTCCTGATAATTT